TTGTTCAGTACATTCACTGGTTTCTTGAATGTTATCATCTTCTTATGATTCAAATGGCAAGGGAGTCAACAGATGCTGCTCAAGACTTCAAACCTCTGGCTGGGATTTGAATGGTAAGAGGGTGGCAAATCTCATGGTGAGGTGAGGGTGAAGCTGCAGTCTCACAGCAAGATGAGGGCAAAGCCTGCTATTACTCCTAGAAGAATGGAATATGTTAGAGAGAGACAACCTAGCATAGCAAGGAACAAGATGAGATAGCAAGGAACAAGAGGAGATAGCAAGGAACAAGATAAGATAGCAAGGAACAAGATGAGATAGTAAGGGACAAATTGATATGAGCAAAAAATTATGATACACAACTAAAATCTAAAGAAAGAAGAGAATAGATAAGCAGCCACTATTTGAGAATCTGACAAGCAAAGCTTACAATAGAAGAACAAAACCTACACAGCAGCAAAAGCCTCACTATGAGAAGTGCAATGTTCCATAGTGAAAGATGAGATAGGCTCATCACTGATATGAATTGCCTTAGGATGCTGAATAGAATAAAGAAAATAAACACAGAGACAATGAGAAATCTAATTAAATGGAAGAGAGCAACTATAGCAAGAAGTGAGACTTGGCTCTACTGCCATTAACAAAGCTTTTGCCAAACAATGACACCATACCAACAATGGCCTGAAGTCATTTGTGAGGACACATAGGTGGAACCAAGCAACAGGCACAGAGACCTCCAAAAATGCTCCTTACCTTCAGAATTTACATTTATGCTGAGCATGCGGAAAAATGACATGTGGTACACATGATCAGCTGTGATATTTGTGTAACAGACACAGTAACATCACATAAGAGAAAATAAAGCTTAGAGTCTTCCAATATAACAGGGTTATGTCCTAGTATTAAAAGAACTGATGTCTCATGGTACATCAGACCTCTCTATATACCATAGACTGTACATAACAGTAGAGTAGTAATCAACAAATTTCTGGGAGAGATATGAACAACTGGATAGGTATTATCATTGCTTGCCACCCTGCTTCCCTGGAGTTCCCACCAACACCCCCTCAACTCAACCCAACCTTTGTTCACTCATGACACCCACCCTGACTAACTCTGATGCTTCCCCAGCAAACCCCAACAGCCCCCTGGCAAACCCCAACACATTCCCTACAGACCCCATCACTTCCCCTTCTCCTCCCAAGCCCTTGGACCCCTCCAACACTGTTCCTGATCCTGGCATATGTCACTGACTTGTCACCACAACTTACTCAACCAGTCCAGAACATCATGGCACCCCTGGAGCAGCCTACATTTCCATCAGATCCCATCAGTATATCACTGTGGCCCACCAACTGATTAGAACTGACACCCATCAGCTCTGCATGGCTCTGACAAGCCCCACTGCCAGACCCATTGCCCCTAGAGGGGATCTGTAGTTAGTTTTTAAGCTGTAAGACAATATCTATTACAGTAGTCTTGATATAACTTGTGGTTACTTGTTTCTTGTTACATTTGTCTCTGTTATGTTTCCTGGTCTTGTCTCTGTTTCTGTCTATTGTCTCATTACCATCTCATTTCATTGTCTCAATCTATTCATTCTCATCTTGACTCTGTCTCATCTCATCTGCCTCAGTTTCCTTTATTGTTGCCTAAGCTTCTTTCAACCTTCACTTTGTTACAGACTCCAATCATAAGTTTACAACCCCCAAACATTCATAATTAACTCTGGACCTTGCCCTACACTTGGCTCTGGAATCCATCAACATTAATTGATCCCCCATCAATCTCTGGCCCTGCTCTCATTACTTATGTGGCCTCTGCTTGCTTCACACCCTCTGTATTTGCCTCAAGTCTTGTACTTGAGTCTTCCCCAAGCCCAACCCTTCTTTGTACCTTGTCTTAGACTCCCATGAACCACCTTGTACTTGCTTGGACTGCTCCCCTTAGCTCATCCTCACAAGTATCTGAAGTCTGGACCTTCCCAGAGTGCTAGGTTATAAGCACAGGACATTGCATCTGCCTAGTAAGGACTTGCTCAGTTAAGCTGAGCCCCCCTGGTCAGTGGGACCTGACACTGGAGGTCAGGAGTCAGGGTGCAGCTGGATGATTAGATTGGTCCAGACAGCTGACAGCAAGGTTATGGGTACAAGGCTAATTGGCAGTGGGATGCATGTGTGGTGCAGTGTCACAGGAATTACTGAAGGAAGGCATTGGTGCAGAGTTTATGGAGAAAGCTGAATAGCAGTTGGAAGGGTTCTTGGAGCAAGGATAGTGGGAGTGTTCATTGTTGTAGGGTGCCATGATTGTGGCAGCATTTTCCATGGCCTTGCTGGTGTCAGAGGACCACTGTTTTAGGTCAGCATGTGCATGGCCACAATCATGCATGTGCAAGTCTGGGTCACCAGCAAGTCACATGATCTTTCTGTCTTGCTGTATAGTTGTTACCCATGAGTCTGAAGGCCTAGAGTGTAGCATCTGGCCTAGGGAATTCCTCAGACTTGTTCTCTTTGGATCTTCCTTTGCCAAATGTGTAGTATACTTGTAGACACTATACCATACTGAATAGACTTTGGATCTCCCTTTGCCAGTTGTGTTATTGAGCCACAGCCTCCAGAGGTCGCCCTTACAGCAGAACAAGTCTCTAGATTTGGTCTGGGAGCCACATATAGACATATATATGTAGTCTGTCCTACAATACAGTAGAGCATGCTTTGGGTTGTATCCTACATCACTGGTGGAGTCTGCTACACCATAGCAGAATTCCCATGATGTAGCATATTATACAGGTGCTGTGGAGGCTGTACATTGTGCCATATTATACATATCCAGTGGAGTCCTTTGACCAGGATCTGGAGGTGCTAATTACTACTGGCCCTGTTGCAATTACATTTAACAGTGACTGGCCCTGCTCAACACTAAAATCCACTGGTGTCAGCAGACTGGCAGTGGGTCTGGCCACCAGCTTTTTCTCATGACTGGCTGCCACCACTTGTGACATAATCTGCCCTCAGGAACATATCTGCCCAGTGCCATCAGAAAGCTGCTGAGAAGATGGGAGGTGGCCAAAGCTGGTACCACCATTGGCAACAAGCCATTTCAATGAAAAGTGATATGAAGATCTATTTTAACTGCAGAAATAACAATCAAGGAACAGCAGAAACACAGCATTATGCCAGTTGAACAAAATCAATGGAGAACACATCATATTGGTCATGGTTTTTTTAGATGCTTGGGAATGCTTCAGAATTCTTCATAGAGGATCAGATTCTTTGGAAGGCATCAATCTTCTTTGGCAGCCATCAAAATCTCATCAAAGCATCAAATCCTTGAAGGCCTATAAATAGGGAAGAGCAAGATTCTCACTCTCCCCTGGCAGACAAGCATGTTGGGACTATGAGTAGCCCTGCTGTGTGTTATCAGCTGACTGACCAGGGAGGGAATGTCCCTCCAAGTTGGTCTGGCAACTGAGCAATGGGCAGAGTAGATATCTGACAGGGATTACCTGGGGGTCATCCTGCATCCACTCCACCCTCAACACCTCATTGTGGGCCACCTGGGCCAGGTGGAGGTGGTGGGGGATCTGGAAGAGGACCACCCTTTCTTGGTTGAGGACCATCACCACCCCTGGGAGGAGGTCCACCAGATCCTAATGGACCAGTTAATGGTCCAGCAGATGAAGAGGATGACAGCAGTCAAAGAGCTGGTGGGAGGAGGACTACAGTCCTCCCAGATGGACAGTCATGGTGGTGTTTTCAATGCCACCACAACACTGTGGACAATTCACCACTCTTGGAGTGGCAGAGACCCATGAGTATCACTGCCAGACAATGCATGATTGTCTACAGGCAGTGATGGAGCAAATGCTTGCTATTTGATTGGTGATTCCAGACAGACTCAAGCCTAAGAAGAGTGATCCATCAAAGAAAATCACTCCATATGCTGGATCTGCCAAGTTTAGTGAACTTGAGGACTGGTTATGAGTGTTTGCATGTTTTACACAGTAGCCCAATATGGTGGAGATGGGTGCAAATGCAAGAGTCCTGACTTTAATGGACTTCCTCACTGTGGGCATACTGAAATGGTACCTGCAACATGTAATACATGTCAACAGGGCCCAGTTCTACTGGAGATTTGAGGACATGATTCTTGGATTGTATGATCAATTTGTACAGCTATCAACAATGCAGGATGCATGTGACATGTTCTGTGATGTGGTGTGTGCAGTCAACAAGAGAGTGCAAGGATTTTATGATGCCTTACTTGACCATGCTCAAAACATGGCTGTCTTCCCTGATGAATTCATCATTTGTGAGTGGTTTCAGGGTAGGGCACTACAAGTGCATGTGTCAGACATTGTAGCAGAACATGTTTTGTATTGTATGCTACATGTCCAGCAGAGTCCTCTGCATTGTAGCAGAAGTTAACAATGTTATGTCTGCAACAATGCCATTGCAATGTTACAATGTGTCATCATAAACACTCTGAGCAGACATCTTTGACTGCCCTCTTGGTTTGCAGGAGTTGTACATTGTATTGTTGTCAACAGTATCAGCAGATGTCTGCTGTCTGCCTTCCATTGCTATATCACATCTGTTGCAAAAAGCAGTTCCATTAGCTGGTGTGCCACTATATAACTCTTTCCATTGTCTCCACTTTCCATTGCTATATGACATCCATTGCAAAAAGCAGTTCTGTTAGCCAGTGTGTGCTGTCATATCTCTTTAGGCTGCTCTGTTGTTGATTTCTTTGTCCATAAATGGATCCCATCACAAAAGCATATTTACTACAGAAGTGTTTCCATTCAAAAGCTCTCAGTTTATTTGTATAGATATTTGTTGAAATCTGTCAAAGTGTGAGGCATGGGAAGCCATCACAAAAGCATTTTTGTAGGGGCAAGAAACCATCACAGAACCATTCATCCATTGCAAGCCTGGTGGAAATGACCATGCCAATGATTTGGGCACTCTGTAGATGATTGGTGAAAATATCATTCTTGGGACAGTATCATGGCTTAGTGGTTCAAAGTGCCATAAGGTTATGCTTCTCTCTGTCAGGATGAGGGTTCAAATCCCTAATCTGACAATTGCCTACTGATTTGGTCTTTTATTTTATTTATTGTGCTTTTTCTCCTGTGCTCTAACTAATGTTTAGGCACACTCTGAAGCAAAATACTCTTATGGTTTGGGTATTCAGGCTGGCTACCTGCCAAATCCTTGATTGCTGCAGTGCTCTACAGATGCTCTTAATTTGCTTGATATAGCAGGCCTGTGTGGCTTAATGGGTTTGAACATTAGAGGTCTGCTGATGTCTGCAGCCTCATATGCTTAGGCTGAGGGTTTGAATCCCTTGCTTGACATTCTGGTATGGAAACTTTTTTTAGTCATCATTTTAATCAACCATTGTTTGTTTCATGATTGACTTGCCTGATATAACAGGCACTTGTGGCTTAATGGGTTAGAACATTAGAGCTCTGTCAATGTCTGCAGTCTCATATGCTCAGGTTGAGGGTTCAAATCTCTTGCTTGACATTTGTTGTCTATAAATTTGTTTTCAATTGTCCACTCTTTGCTACAACATATGCTTGTAGCTGGCTTATCTTTCCAAAGCACTATGCTTCAGTAGTTTGAATTCCTTGCTTGACATTCTGTAAATGACAAAAGGTTTTTTAGTCATCATTTCAATTGACAATTGTTTGTTCCAGCAAATGCCTATAATGAGGTGCTATTGTGAGCCACCATGGATCAGTGGTTTGGATTGTTGGTTAAGCCACACTCCAACTGTCAAACCTAGGGTTTGACTCTCTCCCTTGACCTAGTGATTTGCAATGATTTTTTTTCTGTTTGATTTCTACTATTCCACATAACATTTGAAGGCTTTACATGTTTTGTAGCTTCAATTGTTTTGTAGATTCCTGTGGGTACAACACTTTTCCCTGGTGATCCAGTGTATACCTATTTCTGCTGCAGAGGCCTTCCAGCAGCAGCTGCCAGTGGTCTCATGTATACTTATTTCTGCTGCCAGAGGCCTTCCAGCAGCTGCTGCCAGTGGTTCAGTGTATACCTATTTCTGCTGCCATGCCCATTTTCCCTGGTGCCACAGTGTACTCTCATTTCTCCTATCAGCAGTGTGGCCACAGCATCTTTTTTGTGTCTTTTCTCTTTATATTTATGGGAATTTTATCTACATCAATGGGCTCCATCCTCCAAGTTCTAATTCCAAATCCAAGAAGAAACCAGTGTCACTTATATACTCAAAAGTCAAGTGGTGTATATGGATCATCTGGAAGGGTTCCCACAACACTTGATGTTGTGCTTGAAGAAGTTGAAGTTTCTGAGAGAACATCAGAAATGTCAGCAAAGTTGGCTGGGGTGAAAGGGCCAACAGGGATACATCCACCATGATCTCTTGATTGCCAGAAAGATTGTTCTGTCAGAAACAGTTAGATCTGCCAGGTTAATGATGCAGATTGACTCATGTTTCTGGTACAGCATCTCAATGCATCTCTTGTCCTCATGTGGTGTTACTCTTTTATCATATCTTTGCCACTCCTCCACATTATCCCCCTGAGGAATAGGGGGAGTACCAGATGAACTTTCATCATCTGGTGCAGTCAAGCAGGCCAGTCTATGTTTGGTATCCATTGCAAAGTTGCTATCCAATGGACATGAATTGTGACCTGGAATGAATAGAGATGGTGCAGAATCACTATTCATTGCAGAATTTGGTGATATTCCTGGTGGAATGATGAGGGGGGGGGGATCTCTCTGGCATGTTGGTCTGCTATGTGGATGTATGTTATATTTGCTGGTACATATTCTCCAGATCCAGCAGTTGAAGTTCTGCTCTTAGATCCAGCATCCAATGCAATGAAAAGGGGAGGAAGACTATTAACCCTCAGTACATTGCCATTGTCAGATATCACCTCCTTGTCAGACTTGTCATCCATTGCCATAAACAGAGGAGGAAGCCTGCCATCATCCAGTTCACCTCCACTGTCAGCCCTGTCACCATTGTTAGACTTGTCATCCATTGCTATAAACAGAGGAGGAAGCCTGCTGTCATCTGTTGCACCTCCACTGTCTGACCTGTTGTTTGATGCAATGAAGTGTGGTGGGAGGTGTTCCTCATCTGATCCACTTTCCTCAGCATGAAACAGAGGTGGAATGTTGTTGAACCAGTCTGGCTCAAAAGTCATACCCCTGAGGTCTGGATCATCAAACAATGGATTCTCAACATCCATCCATTTCTCATCACTTTGTGCCAGTGAGAAGAAGCTCTGCCAAACAAGGGAAACAGGATGGGAAAGTGATTGAGACTGTGCTTGTGCTTGAATAGCAGATGATTTCTTTATAGGGTGATAGATGAGCCCAGGATTCTTCCTACTTTTAAGGAAGAGGTGGTGGAATGGATGGCATGGATTGGAAAGATCAATAGCCTTGTCAAGCATTGATGGAGGCCATGCAGGTGATTGAGTGTCAGGCACAGAGGTTGAAGAGGCACAGTCAGATGGTATTGTGCTAGTGCTACTAAGGGTATTGGTGATTGAGTCAATACCGGTGAGTTCTCCTAAGTGTGACAGCACAATAGAATCAGCACTGGAGAGGTGAGTGTCAGGGGACTTCCATTTCCAATCTCCACAACTTGTTCCAGCATCTCTGCAGCTTGTTCAACATCTCTGGGGCTTGTTCCAGAACCCCAGTGATGTGCTCCTATACTGCCTAGTGCCATGCAGGAAACCTAAAAAGAGGACCTAACACTAGTCACTAGATAGGGTAGCTGGCAGTAGGAAGTTTATAAAGAGGGCAAGTCAGTAACTGTCCCAGAAAACAAGAGCTAATGGGTGGAGTGTGGATGGGAAGTGAAAATAGTCACTATCACTAGCCTAAGTTACTATATGGTAACAGAGGGTTGCTAGACAAAGGAAAGGAGAAAGAATGAAGGTGAAAGAGTTGCTAAGGGGGAACAAACTAAGTGGCAAAAGGGGGAGTTGGGAAGAGAAAATGGAAATGACAAGAAAGGGACTGGAAGGGGACAAATGCAAACTAGTCACTAGCCATAGTTGCTAGCATTGCTAAGTCAAGATAAATGCTAAAGGCACCTGCAGTTGGTACCACACTAAGTCAAAATCAAGTTGGCAAGACTGTTGCTAACTTGTTGTCAATGGCAAGTTAAAGAGCAAAGTGAAATCTTAAGCTGGTAAGCTTAGAGAGAGAGGAGGGGAATTGTACTCTGTTTGTTGTATGGGGTCTCTATATACAGGCAGTATTTATACTATTTGTAAGTATAGTATAAGAAAGGAGATAATAGTTGCTGCTAGCAATGGTATCTGCCAAAGTTTTTATGATACATATGAGATGTCAATCTGTAACCAAGTAAAAAGTAAGCAAAGTCAATGTGATGCATAAAGGTAATAAATCACAAGACAAGAGCATGTCCAATGTCAATACCTGAAGTATAAATACCATTCAAGTATGTTTGTAAGCCCAACAAGAAAAATGATAAGTAAGAAATCACACAACTGTCAATATGTCCATATTTAGAGAGAAAGCTGTGTTGTCACCAAGATAGTTGCTAGCGATCATTGCTTAGAAAGGTCTTGACATTGTCATTCTAGATCCTGAGTCCAGATTTCATGTGATACAGCTTGTGATCAATAAGTCTTGTGGTTGCTAAAATTCTATGCAAAAGCTATGTTGTTCCAGATGTTGGGGCTAGGCTTCACATGCTAAGTGTTGTGACTTGTGCCATATCAAAATAATCAGCTGCTGTCCAGTCAGAAATGCCAAAAATGGTGCTCAGCAACAAGTAAGTCTTATCATCCTCCTCTATGCTGAAATCTTGACTGTTCTCAGTCAATCCAAAGTCTCATGATTGCTTGCTTGGTCCATGCATCTAGAGTGGTCAGAATAAAAGTGACTAGCAATCCTGCTTAACTTCATCAATACTCCCTTCTAGCTATCTCAATCTTATCACCATGTCCTCTGATCTCACCTCCCAACTTGAGAAGCACACAATGGCCCAGGCCTTCCTTGATTGGGCTGACTACCTCTTGTCCATTGCACATGTGTCACTGGCAATAAATCCTTGCTCAGCAGTCACCACCATCATACAACTTTGGCTTTGATGGTTCAAAATGGCTGGTAGTGGGATAGAGTGTGCAGAGTTGGCAACTGTCAACAAGAAGTGTTGGCAGTTATATGAACAGTATAAGGGAGAGGACTGGATTTGACAGTTCAATAAACATTTTGTAAGCTCTTTACTTTTTCTTAGTGACACAGTCAACAATTTTTGCTAGGTTCCTCTTTTGCCTTTGTTGGAGTTCCTGATGGAGAATCTGGTGGCTGGCATGACAGTGAGTGCTGGCAATGTCACTAGTGTCACAACCCACTCCCTAGACCCCCGACCTTGTCTCCAACCTGCTCAAACCCTTCCTAATGCCTTGCCAAACCCCCCCAACCCTCAACCACCCTCTGCACCCACTCTGGGTAACTCTGATGCTTCTCCAGCAAACCCCAACAATCCCCTGGCCAACTCTGATGCCTTCTTCACAGTCCTCAACACTTCCCCTAAGCCTCTGGAACCTTCCCCCACTGTTTCTGACCCTGTCATATGCCTCCAATCCCCTACCCTGATTCACTTGACTTCTCACCTTGTCTCTGCCTCATCTCAACTGTCTATATTCCTTTGTTTTTCTAAGTTCCCCCATCTCCAACATCAGTACAAACTTCACACATGTGCTATAACCCCTGAACATTCTTATAACAACTCCGAACCTCACTCCTTGCTTGGCCCCAGAACCCATCAAGTCTTAGTTGATCCCCCATCAAACTCTGGCTCTGTCCCCATTACCTGTGAAGCCTCCACTTACCACACAGCCTATTTGCCCACCTACAAACTTGTTCCTGACACCCACCTAAGTCTGACATTTAATATACTTAGTCTTAGACTTCCCCAGACCATTCCAGACTTGCTTGGACCACTTCCCTTAGCTTCCCTTCACAAGTCTCTTCCCTCTGCACCAACCCTGGAGTGCTAGGTTATAAGCACAGAACATCATATCTGCCTAGTAAGGATTTGCCAGTGTAG